TAAACAAAATGTCTATTTCAAGGGTTATGATAAAGACTGGATGAGATAACAACTTTTTAAGTTATTGACAGGGTTGACAGTACCTGACAAATAAGGGTACTGAGTAAAGGTTAGCTTCCTCCCTTTTCCCATTCCTTATCCCTAGTCTCCTTTCACTATCAAGGTTTCCACGGATCTAAGGCAGCAGGGGAACAGGCTCAGCTCTGAGCAGAGGCACAACCCAGTCCTGCTGGGTCCCACACAAGCTCAGGGCCACCTGACTGTGTCCTCTTCCCATTTTAGCAACACCACCACCATCACTGCTGCCCAGACAGTGATCCTATTCAGGCTCCTCATGACCCATGGGCTCCAAAGTAATTCATCAGCCACTTCGGCTTGGCTCACCGCTATCCTGAGTGTCACTTTCACCGTGCAATAAGATAGTGACGAGAGGTCATACTGTAAAAGAGTCTTCATTCAGCCTGCAAACACAGCAAACATAACTATACCTCAAAACTGAGATTACCAGGAGATAGCATTTATTATGAGATAACAACAGTAAACCTTTGTCGTTCTAACTCTTGACTGTGGCACCATCTAATTTTTTCATTCTAGCGTGGATAAGCTGAGTCCGTGCTTTATGAATCCAGAAACTCATAGTGACAATTGACAATGAATTCAGACCCTGTGCTGTTTACTTTACATGAATTATTTTATTTATTCTCATAACAACTCAGAGTTAGGTACTCTTGTTAGGCCCATTCTACCCATGACAAAAGATAAAATTGAAACCCTAAGAAGCTAATTAACTAACCCCAGGTCACACGGCCAGGAAGTGGTGGGGCTGAGATTTGAACCATGACATCTTGATAACAAAGCTTAGCCACCACGCTGCATCAGATTCCATCTTATAATCCTAGGTTTCACAGCTAGGATTCATCTTTTCCACAGATATTCTCGATCATACACTACGTGCCAGTCACTGCCCTAGCACTGGTAACAATAACACAGAAAGAATGCTGTTTTCATGGAGCTTACTTTCTACTTGGATAAACAGAAAATAGATATACCTATAGTAAAAGACCAGGTAGTGATAAATGCTATGAAAAAAAAACATAGTACACTAAGGGGCTATAGAGGGAAAGTGCTATATAGCTCAGGTGGACAGGTGATCATTTAGTCCTGTGTCTTCAGGTAGGACATGTATTATTATCCCCATCCAGTAATTAGATAAGGAGGAGTTGAAAAGCTAAGTAACTTGCCCAACGTCACAGAGCTTGCAAGAAATAAAGTATCAACTAAAAGCCAAATCTCCTACTTTCTACTGCTTTTTTAGTATGCCATACTTAGTCTGTCTAATAATACTTCAACCTGAAATTGCACTTCCATAAACGTGCATTTCTAAGCACAGATAATCCCTGTGTACTCATTTTTCCTCGTTGGTCCCCCCAAAATGAGATCATCTAATAAAAACCAGAGTGGAAAAGGAAAAAAGGCATTTAAAAAAAGAAAACCCTCTGAACTCATGAATAAGAAACTGAACTGTCCAGAATGAGGTCTCTCACCCTCACTTTTAAATACCTTGACTAATGGCTGATGGGATGTGCTGCAGTAGAATACTCATGGATTTGGCTCTCACAAGCAGAAATATCCTGGATCCAACACCTCAATTACTGAGGGAAAATAAGAGCCCCCCAAATCACTACTAACAGCATTGACATAATTTCCAATCCTGCTCTTTTATTTATTTGGGTAGTAGACAAATGAAGTTTTAGTGATAAATTGATTGCTCTGTTCTGTGCCGTAAGACTATGGGCATACTAATGGGCTGAACTGCAATTATGTGGTTTTGACATGACAAATATTAATCAACTTAAACTCTCTGAAGACTATTTGGAAAACATGACCCAGTAGGGAGAAATAAACCTCATTCTTGTAACTGATTAAATGTTTTATGGTTATATTCTTCCATGCCTATTTTTTTTAATATTGGCAGGAGAACAGATAATTGACAATTGCAAATCTCATCTACAAACTGTATTACTTAAAACAAGCAGGGAAAGACTAAACCTATGAACTGATATAAATCCAAACTTCAGACTGAGCTTTTCCTGGGCTGGGCATTTGGTTAGCGAAAAATCAATTAATCAATCAATCTGAAAGTGTTAACTATTAAACATCTGCCTCTCTAGGGCTTCCCTGGTGGTGCAGTGGTTGACAGTCCGCCTGCCAATGCAGGGGACACGGGTTCATGCCCCGGTCCGGGAGGATCCCACATGCCACGAAGCAGCTGGGCCCATGAGCTGTGGCCACTGAGCCTGCGCGTCCGGAGCCTGTGCTCCGCAACGGAGCGGCCACAGCAGTGAGAGGCCCGCGTACCGCAAAAAAAAAAAAAAAAAAAATCTGCCTCTCTAAAAGTACAAATGTAACACAGATGTCAACTGGGGTGACCCTGCCTTTGAAACTGTGATCTCAAATCTCATTCTAACTACCCTGGACAGTGCAGCATGCCTCTCAACATCTGGGGGTTCTTGGGAAACTTATGTTTTTCCTTGACATCTTTGGTTCCAATTCTCTACTAAAATCCTAACAATATCTCTCTCCTCTCTTCTTCTCCTTTCCTCTCTATGTCAACCCATTTATGGAATATAGCCCTCTCTTCATGATCTTCCAAAAAGAATACTCATACCTGGCGATGGGATGTAGTAGACTCTTTACTGAAAATTCAAGGTAATGCTGGCTGAGGAAGTGGGATGGTTATTTACAATGTGGCACAGATCAACAGAAGAGAGGCTTCTGTTCCTCTTTGGACAAGTTCCGTAGCTGTCTTCCGCCACCATCGCTCCACCACCACTGCTGAATTTTTCCTGCCTTCTGTTAAGACTCTCTGCATTACAACCACGACCTACACACACTTAACCTCCTCCTCCTTCCTTCTCCTCTCTGCTTACTTCACTTGCCCCTATACTCCAAATGCCCTATTCAATTCTCATGCAGAGTTGTTTATATAAGACCTCTCTCATTCATAACAACTGGGCCATGAAGGCCTTCTTTCCTCAACCAAAATTGTCAACACGGATAGCAAGCCAAACAATGGAACTTTCCCATAAAGGAAACTCCATGGTCAGCTCTTAAAGCAAGATTTTTTTGTCCTCTATACGTTGACAGTTAATATTATCTATCCTCTCAGAGGGTGGAGGAAAAGCATTATCTACCTTTCCACCTGCTTTTTACCTGCAGTCAAAGTTTATGACAGTTTTAGTGACTCTTCTTTCATATCCCCCAACCTACTTCCCAACGTTAATTAATATTGCCACTTCACCAGCTGTGGTATTTACATCTGAGTAAGAAAATGCTACCAATAGGAACTGAAGAAAGGCTTATAAACCTCATTTGTTAAGCTGTATTGCCCAAGCTGGCAGGCCTCCAATTCACAGCAGATTATGTGCCTGCACAAGGCACTGGAAGTCAAAATATTGTAAGACAGATCTTATTTACCTTTAGAAACCATGTATTTCATAATAGTGGTATATTCTTGATCAGGAATCTGATTCTCAAACATTATTCAGGTATAGTCAGTCAACCCTTTGACCAGGTGTAAAGGAGACACTTACATCCAGTGTTATCTAAACAAAAAATACTCACTTTATGACTATTTTTCATTATAAAAATATTTTTCTGATTATAGAAATAGTATGTTTTATGAAGAAAGTGTTTTACAGAAAAGAAAAATTACCTTCAAACTCACTGCCAACGGATAACCACTGTTTACATTTTGTTATATTTCCTGTAAGTTTATTTTCTCTGCATAGTTTTACAGATATGAGATCACCACAGTATATAGTTCTGTGTTCTGGTCTTGGTACTTAATATTACATATTCAGTGCTTTCTATTTGTCAACATAATTGTAATGCCTATATATTAATTTACTTATATACACTAATTTACATAACTTCACCTATTGTTCAGTACTCAGATTTTCTAAAATCCAAGTTAACACCTTATTAAATCCGCTGTTTTGTCAACTATGATAAAAATGTGTGTGTATACGTGTAAAATGTGTATACAAAGCCAATTAGGGTACAAAGGGCAACATAGTAAGTAATCACATACCTTTTTTCCAATTTTTTTATTGTGGTAAAATAGGCATAACATAAAATTTACTGCCTTACCCATTTTCAAGTGTACATTCCAGTGGTATTAAATACATTCATAATGTTATGCAACCATCACCACCATTCATCTCCGTAACTCTCTTCATGTTGTAAAACTCGTTCGGGTTTTTCCTTAAGATGTTATGGAAAAACCCAAATGGACTTCTTGGCCCACCCAATATATACCATATTTTACTTGTTGCTTTGTCTGTCAATGGACTCTAGGTTGCGTCCACATCTTAGCTATTGTGAAAACTGCTGCTATGAACATGGGTGTACAAATATCTCTTCAAGACCTTGCTTTCAATTTGGGGGGGTATATACCCAGAAGTGGGAATTGCCAGCTCATATGGTAATCATATTTTTAAATTTTTTGAGGAATCGTCATACTGTTTTCCACAACTGTACCATTTTACATTCCCACCAACTTTGCACAAGGGTTCCAATTTCTTCATATCCTAGCCATCACTTGTTATTTTCCATTTTTGTTGTTGTTGTTGTTGTTGCTATTGTTGTTAGCAGCCATCCTAACGGGTGTGAGGTGGTATCTCACTGTAGTTTTGATTTGCATTTCCTTTATGATTAATGATGTTGAGCATCTTTTCATGTGCTTATTGACCATCTGAGTACGTTCTTAGAGAAATGTCTCTTCAAGATCTTTGCCAATTTTTGAATTGGGTTGTTTGGTTTTTGTTGTTGTTGTTGAGCTTCAGAGTCCTTTATATATGTTGGATATTAATCCCTTATCAGATATATGATTTGCAAATATTTTCTCCCATTCTGTGGGTTGCCTTTTTACTCTGTTGACATTGTCTTTTGATGCACAAAATTTTCTAATTTCCATAAAGACCAATTTGTCTATTTTTTCTTTTGTTTCCTGTGCCTACGGTGTCATGTCCAAGAAATCATTGTCAAACCCAAAGTGGTAAAACTTTGGCTCTATGTTTTCTTCTAAGAGTTTTACACCTGTGGATCTTACATTTAGGCCTTTGATTCATTTTGAGTTAATTTTTGTGTATGGTGTTAGGTAAGGGTCCAATTTCATTCTTTTGCATGAATCACATAACTTTTTATGGAATTTCTTTAGCCTAGATGGAAAACAGAGTTTTGAAGTTACAAAGAACTGAGCCAGCCTCAAAGCAGCCTATATGTGAAGATGGGAAACAGGGAGACAACCACTTCTACCCTCAACCCCATCCCTACTACCCAATACTGAAACCATACATTGCAAGGGCGAGAATGGAGAGGAAGACCTCCATATCTCTCTTCCTCTAAGACGTAGAGGAAGAAAGACAGCCAGCTTTCCAGTGGTGTATGTCAATAGTAGATTGTCCAGGATACAAGGTTTCCATTCTGCCTACTCAAAGAGCCATAAGTGATTCCATGTGTGAGCATATACTAACCAATTCATGATGCACTGGAGCCAGCCATAAGCTACATATGTATATATGATGTCATTTACTCCACTAATTAATCTTTGCCTCTCAAATGCATGATTCTAACTATGTTTCCAAAACTATACTTATTAAAATGCCAACATCCATTGTATTCTCATCTTCCTGAGATTTTCTGTTTGGCTTATCATCTAAGGGAAAAACCAACTGCCTCACAGCTTAACATTTTCCCCGTAAACCATGCCCAGTGTGTCTACAACAGCACCATCCCAGTGACTCTGCTGGAACATACAGAAAATGTTATGGTGTTGATAGTATCTCAAAATGGTATTTCTACACTTTTTCAAATCCCAATTCCACTATCCTGTCAAAATCCTAAGTTCTCCCTTATGGCTGCTGGTAATTTCAAAAACCAGGGCCTACTACTTCACCTCCAGAACTGTGGAAAAGAGACTCAAGTCATATTTTTTTTTCCAGATGTTCTCAATAAAAGGATCAGCTAAGATCTCAATCTCTTATGGCAACGTGTGAGAGACGCTTTTCAAGGGGAATGGTTATTAGCATCACATTTAGACTCATAAACCAAGATAAAAGGATTTGGAGGGAATAAACAGAAGAGTCTAGGGAATGAAAGTTTGTGCCCCCAAAGCCAGGTTTATTTTGTGGTGGCTCTTTATAGAACAAACTGGGATGTGAACATCTCAGCCTCCCAATATTTACCACTCTCAATATTGTCCTGCTCTCTTGTGAAGCAACTGGACAGAAGCCATAATCTAGAGGTGCACCCTGAAAAGACTATGTGGCATTGACCGGCTTTACACATGGGAATCCAAAGGTACGACATAATAGGGAATGCTACGACTGTGTGATGCACAGTTTTATTGGAGCCACAGGCCAATAAAACCAATGCTGTGCTGAATAAAAGGGAATAACAAAATAAAATGGAATAAAAAGCCATTAAATTCTGGGACTCCACAAGGTTTCTCTCCCAGTGAATCACTCCAAGTGTCAACATGGAAAGTCAGCTCTCCAAAAGTCAGCACTATGTTGTAACCAGTCACCTGTCTCCCGAGGGGAACAAAATCAGCCAACAAATCCATTATGCCTTGTCTTCTCCCAGGAGTTTCCTTGGTGCCAGAAGCCAGAAAACTCTACAAAAGACCTACAGAGGATACCAGTGCCTCATGCGAAGTCCCTGAAAATGGCCGGTCTTGGTATTTTCCTGAACCAAGAACAAACGGGCGAATCAAAGCAGGGCATATACTCCTCTCCATAGGTGCCTCACCCACTCTCATGCCCATTTCACCTTGGTTCTAGCACCCCTGGTTTATTTCTAGATTTCCCTGCAAACAAACTGAAACTCCCAGCTAATTCTCACAGTTTGTTGGAAAGTTGGCCTCAATGGGTATTATTTATATTACCATCCAAGAGACTATTCACCCCTAAACCTGGGTATTTATCCAAAGAAGGGGGTAGGGTGGAATCTCTTACAGGAAGCATAAGGGCTGAGGAAGGGGAAAACAGCTTTATTTTCCCTTGATTACTTGAATGCAAGAGATCACCTAACCAATATCTCTAAATGATAAATTTCATAACTCTTCGATTTGGGGATAATTCCACAGAAGACTCTTGTCTCATTGTTTTTTTAATCTAGCTTCATTTTCTACCCTGTTCTTGCTGAATCCCTCACCATACTTTTAAATTCTCCCTCTGGCCTCCCATAAAGAGAACTATCCCAAAGGCCTACCTGGCAGCCTGTCCATTCCCTCTGGGCAGAAGACCAAGAGAGAGACCTGCAGGCTGTAGCTGGTGCATCTCCTGAAGATGAACCAGAAGGAGAGGCTGGCCCTTCTCTTGGTGGCAGCTGGTTCAACCTTAACAGGCAGCTGGCAACAGCCTCCTATTTGAAGCTGGGGCAAAAAGCAATGATTCCATTGATTCCAGCTCCATCTCACCTCTCCTGGCCCACAATGCTCCTGTCCCAGTGACTATGGAGGCAGCAGTTGTGCAGTAATTAGGATCCTCCTGGGCCGGCCAATCTCAGAGAGAGCAGGATGCCAGCTGCTCCATCACCAGAAACAACTCCTTGCATTCCTCCTCAGCATTCTTCCTCTCTCACAGATCCTGTCCTGTCCTTCTAGCCACTGGAATCACTAAGGCAGGCTGAGACCAAGTGGACAAATTCTCTTCTACCCGAAAGCCAAGGTTATTTACTTTCCTGGCTCACTGGAAGCAGCCTTAGCTCAAGACCAGGTGGAAAGGTGCTGGGTAGTCAGTCATTCTCAGTGACCCTTTGGTTAAGGGTGGGTTTCAGAGATTACCTGAGCACTTTTTGCTTCAATTCTCTCCCTCTTGACTGCTCGCATAGTGTCATAGGTTCTTCTGGCCCACTGGACACTTCCAACACGCAATAGTCATGATCCTGGGGTCTTTTTAACTTCAGGACCTGTCAAATTCAGGATCTGGAGAAAATCACCTTCTTAGTGGCAGTGTTCATGGGACAGCCTCATGTGGTAAGGTTCCCTCTAGGGATGCCCAGAGTCACTTCCCCGTCTGATTTCTTACTCCTCCCCTCTTCTCTTTTTAGGATCTTGAAAGAACAATAATAAGTGGGAGATTCCAAAAATTCTCCCACATATGTCTCCTGATAAAAACAGGGGACTCACCTGGCAATGTGGGAAATCATCCCTCTCGCTTCTCTGATTCCAAGAACCAGAAAGGAAAGGCGGTGATAAAATCTGATCATGCTAAGGCAAGCCAGGAGAAACCCCACTGCCTGGAAGACCACACCGATCTAACTGCTGCTCAGAACCTAAGACATCAGTTTTCTTACTACCCCCTTCCATTTTCTCTTCTCATCGGTAGTCAAACTTACTATAATGAACATTTTTATGTTACTAGGGAAAAAGGGTATTTTTAAGCTCCATTCCCCTCCCAATGACTCAAAATAAGTACAATGTAAAAAAAAAAGAAAAAGAAAAAGAAAAAAGCTTCCCCACTCCCTTGAGCCAATCCACCCAGTCCCATGACTACTTCACTCCAGGAAGAAAGCCAGACCAGATGGAAGTGAGGCCTATGAACCCACAAGTACTGGGCAGAGTGGAGAGCGGGGCAACAGGATTTTCAAAAGCCCTCCCCCCGCCCCAACTTTCCTTTAGACTTTGAAGTGCCTAAGGCACCACTTTAATCCCTGATAGATACAGAAAGGAGTCCGGGGGAAGAGAAACAGGAAAAGACCATAAAGAAAGGGCTTGATTGTATTTAAGAAATGGTCATTCTAACAGCTCCCTGCCTGCAGGCTCTGCCATCCTGTCCCTAACTAGGGGAGGAAAGACCAGCCCTTTCCAGTATGCTGAGCAAGCAGCCCAAGGCATCTACACGAGAACAAAGTAGTCATGGGATGCCAGCAGAGCAGACAAGCAGTCACCCTGCAGAAAAATGCCATAGGCCGCACTGGCTCTCAGCTTACCTAATTGACAAGTGGCAAACTGGCAGTATTGGTGGTGACGCCTCGGGAGCTATCATGTCCAGCAAAGAGAGACTTGGCCAGTTACCTCATCAGTACGTGGTCAATCAGCCAGGGTGGTTGAAGAAATAGCTCAGACTCATACAAGAAGGAACCTGTCCCAGCCTAGGGTGATGTGATACACAAACATCCTCAATGGCTAAGGGACGGAAACGTGACAATATGACTTGCAGAAGGCATTTTTATAGCAAGGATAGCACAACTCTTATACCGTGTAATAGAACACTGGGAAAACGTTGGCCCCTATAGCTTGTGAAATAGAAGAGACAAATAATTTAATTCAGGCATGAAAGCCTAAAATACTTTTTTAAAGGTATAAAGACTCAGGCTACAGATGAGACTTGCCTCTAGCTATCCCTGGTTTGAAGACTGTATTGATTCCTAATTAAGTAGGAGTATTATGCCACGATACCTATAATATTTAGACCTAAATTAATCAATTAATTAACAAGTAGAGACTTTACTGCTATCTTTTTTTGAAGGGCTTTCTTGAATAATTATTTTCACTCTTTTCTTTACTGCCAGGTTATAGAAGCACTCTTCACTGCTGCCACCAGCAGCACCACCAATACCATGTATGCCAGTTCAAAACTTTTGTCCAATCTTGGTGCCCAAATGTACAGACTGATGGAGCCAGTTTATCTACAGTTGCACACATGGACCCAAAAGAGGCCACAGCTTTTTTCAGTTTTGTCAAATATCCTAGTCTTAGAAAATAGATCCTAAACAGAATTTATCCTCTTGGGGTCAGCCTGGGGCAAAAAAAAAAAAACCTGACATTGTCATTGACTTTCACTTGGTGTGTAAATAAGAACGAGGCGTGCTATTTCCTCCCTACCTTCTATCCCCCATCCCTTTGCTCCCTCTCTTCCCAGCTTGCTCTTTCTACTGCATTAGGTTAATAGATTGTTATTTTCATGAAAGCAAACCTGCTCAAAGCTTCAAAAATCTTGCAAGAAATTGTTATTGTGATTCAATCTTTCAAACTTTGCCATGCTAATAATTTCTTTAGATTCATAAAGAGCTTATTGGAACCAGCATTGGAATTAATTGAATTTGTACTCTCACCAAACAGAGCCAGCAACTCTATTATTAGTATTAAGATAATTATAGCAGTTTTTTTTTGTTTGTTTGTTTGTTTGCAGTACGCGGGCCTCTCACTGTTGTG